AGTACCCGGGGAAGACCAGAGACAAGGTACCGTTTGTGCATGGCACGAAGGCGCTGCACTGACGGGTGACCAAGGCGGTGGTGCCAGAGGACAGTCTCGTGCGCCAGAGAGCGACACGAGCAGGGGGCAGACAGCTGGCCTGACGCAGACGCAGACGCAGCTACCTGAGGGGACTCAGTGGTCAGTGTGTACAGGTCTGACCCCGGCTGCCTAGTGAAGGTAGCCAGGTGACGGCCCGTTCGAGCACACGTGCAGTGTGTCACGCGCTCGTAGGCAGGGGTGAACTGGTGGACACCCCCGTCCTGGAGCGCACAACCCGCCACCAAGTTCGTAGAGAACGAGGGGAGGTGAAGACCGGACAGTGTGCCCGACGGAACCGCAGGACAAGGAAGGACAGTGGAGGAGGTCGCAATGACCGGACCCCCAGAGGGGTCAGCAAGGGAGACAGCAACTGGCCGAGCAAGCTGCTCAAGGGCAGTGCGGTCACGAAAGAAACAGCGAGAAGCTCCTGAGTCTAGAGTGAAGGTGTGCAGTGCCTCAGTGGACTCAGTACCAGGGGGCGCAGACGCACTAGCACCTGGAGCAGCAGCCTCACCAGCACCTGGGGCAGCAGACACGCGAGCACCTAGAGCGGCAGCCTCACCAGCACCTAGGGCAGCAGACGCACTAGCACCTAGAGCGGCAGCCTCACTGGTGCGAATGCCCGGGTCGGGCGGAACACGCAGGTACTGGGCACTCTCTCCACTAGTAGACAACACATACATTGCAGTGAGAATAGCATCAAAGTCAAGAGCATAGATATCAATGTTCTTCTTCATCAGGTCAGCCCAGCGGGGCATCTCAGTGGCAGCAGGGAACTGAGTGCGCCAAGCGTCGTCAAGGCGGGAGAAGCAGCGCTGCGTGGTGTGCGCCCTCCCACACGTCTGGCCAGTGCGGTCACCAGTGCGGATAACGTACGTGCAGCTAAGGCTACCCCCCCCCCTCGTGCTGAGAGTACCACTCACGAAGCTCCTGGGAAGACGGAGTGTGCTGCTGGCTCTGGCCACCGCCAGTGCCTCCACGACCACCACCTCGACCACCACCGCCTCTGCCGCCTCCGCGTCCACCGCCGCCCCAACCACCGCCCCCACCCCGGCCACCTCCTCCGCTGCTGCCGCCTCCACCCCCACCGCTGCCACTAGCCCCTCCAGCCCCGCCACCACCCCCACCGCCGCCACCGCCCCCACCACCACCTCCCCCGCCGTCACCTCCTCCTCCCTTGCCCCCTTTGCCCTTGCCGCTGCGACGCCAGTTCGGAGCGGACGCAGTCCCGACCTGCTCAGTACCAACTAGGTCGACAGCAGCAGCAGAGGCGACTGAGGGGAGAAGGGGGGAAGGGGAACACCCCTCGAAGAAAGGGGTGGGGGTCGCCACGAGAGGCAGCTACAGCGACTATGCTAGTCTCAGCTGCAAGCAACTCCTTCTCGAGCAGGTCAACGGTGAGCTCAGTGGGGCACCGAGCGAGGAAGTGGTCCCTGACCGCACGAAGAGAGTCAGGGAGACGGGTGACAAGGTGGTAGAGAGTGAGCCAGAGCGGGGGGGGGTGGGTGGCAAGAAACTCAGCGGGCATAGCGGCACGGAAGCGAGCCTCACTAGTGCGGAGGTGCATGGTGAGGTCAGCTACTGTGGCGAAAGCGGACAGGTCTGGGAACAGGTAGGGGAGCGAGAGACGGCCTAGCGCAGCAGAGGCAGGTGAGGAGTAGCGCGCAACTACAGCAGTGTACAGTGCATGCGCAGTTTTGTGCTGGCCAAAGTGCTCGCGCTCATCTACCGGCAGGGAGTTGCGAATAGCAAAGCGAGCGTGGGCGTCACGAGTCTGCCACTGGGAGCGGGCAGTACTGTCAGCAGTAACAGCAGGGGCAGCAGCATTGCCTAGCGCGTGATCGTACAGCGAGATGTCCTCCTTGGCAGTGAGCTGGAGGAACAGGTGCAAGTCATCTAGCCAGGTGTCAAACTTCAGTGGGCGGCCCTCAGCATCGAAAGCGAGTACAGCAGGGCTAGCCATAGTTGCAGTAAGAGCAGTAGTAACAGCAGGAACAGTAGCAGTAGTAGCAGCAGGCGAAACCCTAAAAGCAGCAGGCAGCGCGACTCAGGTAGGGCGGCTCGGTCCAGAGAGGGCTGCTCAGTACGGGGAGGGCGGCGCGGCTCGGTTCGGGCGGCGTGGCTCGGCTCGGGCTGGGCGGCTCGGTTCGGGCGGCTCGGTTCGGGCGGCTCGGTTCTGGCGGGGCCGTGGCTGTCACGTGCGGGGCTGCTGGGGCTGCCGTGCGTGGCGCTAAGGGGCGGCGCGTGGGGTCGACGGGGCCGACGGGGCCGCTAGGTGGAGTGCGCGCGCGGGGTCGACGGGGCCGACGGGGCCTCTAAGGGGCTGCGCGCGGGGTCGACGGGGCCGTGTGGTGGGCCGCTAAGGGGCGGCGCGTGGGGTCGACGGGGCCGATGGGGCCGCTAAGGGGGGGGCGCGCACGGTGTCGACGGGGCCGACGGGGCCGCTAGGTGGGGCGCGCACGGGGTCGACGGGGCCGTGAGGGGCCGCTAGGTGGGGCGCGCGACGGGGTCGACGGGGCCGACGGGGCCTCTAAGGGGCTGCGCGCGGGGTCGACGCGGCCGTGAGGGGGGCCTCTAAGGGGCGGCGCGCGGGTCGCTAAGGGGCGGGTCGCGGGTCGCGGGGCCTTACGGGGCCGTTAAAGAGGGGCGCACGAGGGCGCTGGGGGGAGGCGCTCGAGGGCGCTCCGACAGTAGGGCGCACTAGGGCGCTAGTAGTCAGTCAGCAGTGGTGGGCCCTAAAAAAATCGGTCCTAGCGGAGGACCTGCTCTGAAACCATGTTAGAAAGTACGAAACAGGAATGATTGACTAGCAACAGAATGAGAGTACAAGTATGACAAACCTAGAGTTCTGTACCCCCTAGAGGCTAACCCACAATAGCCTACACAAGTATAACGCATACAATGTTTGACAGGTTCTGCATGCAGTTAGGCCTTGTTGAGACAGGCCCTCGTTTGCTGTAGACTTGCTTCTTGCTGTTTGTACTTGCATTTCTTGAACTGGCCTTGTGGCCGCTCGCTTGTGCTTGTTGAAGTAGCTTGAGAGGTGCCGTGAAAGTTAGAGAAGAAGAGGGTTTTACTAACAATGAAGGTACAACATATAGGATTGGATGGTGGGAAGAAGGGTAAACCACCAAGAGACAAACAATGAAAGTGATACTACACTACCTACATTGTATGCTGCTATATGAATATATACATTTCTTAACATCCCTCCTTAACTGCATGCAAACATAGCCAGTGAGGGGCGCTCACCCAAAGTGCTGCAATCACCGACCGCAGCTGGGCCACCGTGGTTAAGTACCACGGCAGGTGCCCGCCTGCGGTTTAACCCCCGCAGCGGGTGCCGGTGTGCGCGTCGGGGGCGACCACGCCCATAAACGATGGTAACAACGAGGAGGAGGAGAAGAAGAAGTGAGGAGAAGAAAGGTGCAGCGGAAGGTAGAGGAAGGAGGGGGACGGCTGCCTTCACAAAACCGCCACCCCCACACCCTCTTCCCCCCCCCCAATTGTGGCAGGCGCAGCAGGGATAGGGAGGAGTAGGCGGGCGGCGGCGCAGGCGCTCACGGTGGCGTGCCCTGATGCGACCTACACACTGCTTGTGCGCACACTGCAGGCACGTGCGTTGGCGAGCACGCTGGCGGCAGCTTCTAGCGCGTTCCGGCGTGCGCTAGCGGGGTGCGTGCTGGCGTGGGCTGACGCACGCTGCTGTGCGTGCTGGCTCGCGCTGGCACGTTTCGCGCTGGCATGCGTGCTGGCGCACGCTGCTGTGCGTGCTGGCGCGCGCAGGCAGGCTGCGCGCTGGCATGCGTGATAGCGCGCGCTGCTGTGCGTGATGGCGCACGCTGCTGTGCGTTCCGGGGCACGCTGGCGGGCTATGCGCTGCTGGCGCGTTTGCCACTCGTCCATGGCGCGTTGGTGGGCCTATTATAGAAGGAAAATCACATACGGTAGGTCCTTAGGAACGTGTAGCTCTTAATTCAATGTCAAAGTAGTTTGAGAGGTGGTGAGAAGAGTAGCGTGAGTGCCGTGAAAGTTAGAGAAGAAGAGGGTTTTACTAACAATGAAGGTACAACATATAGATTGGATGGTGGCAAGAAGGGTAAACCACCAAGATACAAACAATGAAAGTACTACCTACATTGTATGCAGTTATATAAATATATATTTCTTAACAGTGCTCAGACTCTGTGGTGACTTTGTGATCCACCCTGAGCTTTGTTTTGTTGCTTCTCTTGACTGGTCTTGTGACCGCCTGTTGTTCTTTCTCTCTTTTGCTATCCCTCACTTAGCCTATGGGGTGTATCAAACTAGGTATATATATATTGTTAGGTTGTAGTGAGGTACTCTGTAGGGGGGTACTACAACACATTAGGGGTCCATATTTGTATCACCCATCATATATATTTTTTAAAGTGTGTAACACTTTTCAAAAATTGTGTATTGTGAAAGTGTAGCGATTGCCAACGCAGCAAAGGCAGCGTCGCATCGCTACTCGCCCTCTTTTGGCTACAAAAGAGGGGGTTGAGGCCATTTGGCCTCACCCACGTTCTACTTTTCAATTTCGAAGTTTGAGTTTCCCACCCACCCACCCCTGTAGTAATTGTCTCTAATGTAATCGTAGTTATTATTGGACGAGATTGATGTACTCACACCCATACGAAATGAAGCACAATGCACATATGAAATGAAGCACGATGCCTTTACAAGTTGCAGAAAGCAAGCTTTCACAATCTGTCTTATCTCATATTCAGCTGTTCTAACTTATGAGAGACCCGCCCTAAACCCCTGGTTTCTGAAAATAAAATGTTTCGAAGGAGCTCGCACCAGTGTGTATTATCTTCTTCGTGTCAGGCCTGATAACGACCTAATTTAGCAACTTCTACTCTACACTTAATGCCGCACACACATCACACAGCTGGTCATTTCTCTGGGCGCTTAGGTGCAGGCCCAAGTGTGCGAACCACAGGGCCAGCAGGCTGCGAGGAGTACCCTCCGTGCGCCTGCAGCTCAGCAATAAGCTGGCCAATGGCGTCATGCACTTGGGCAACAGCAGACGCTGGGATGATGATGGAAGAGCGATCTGCACCAAGCACCTGAATGGAGAGACAACGTAAAGGCTGAGGATGAAACAACATGGAATGCAAACTGCGGCAGTCAACATGAACGTAGCTCGGCACAAGAAAGAAAGGTGGTGGTGCAGCGCAGGCAAGTACTGGGCTGACCTCAGACATCTTGAGGAAGTGGCCGCGAGGATTGGAGCCCAGGTCCAGGAAGAAGCGCTTCTGGTCCGCCACAATCACACGCGATGCTGTCGCACCTGCCGCTACCACCGCACCCCCTACTGAAGAGCCTACGCCTGCCAAATTCGCCTGAGTGCCCCCTGCTGCTGCTGCCCCTGCATCATAGCCTGCGGTGGTTGCTGCTGCCACCTGTGGTAAATAACAGAAGGGTGCCCTAAAGTCAACAAAATAACACAAAGCAGTTCATGGCAATGCGTGCAAGATTGAATCAGACAATAGAGAGCAGCATCCAAGGGAGCCACAGCTCATTTGCATACTCGGGACAGGAATGGGTTTATTTTCTACAAAGAATGCAGGCTACTCAGTATGAGCCCTAATGGCGCAAGATTCTGTGTGATCGTCCTGCGGCCAGTGTCAGAAACCCAGCCTGAGATACAGGTTGGCATGGTGCATAGGTTCCTACTGGCACTCACAGCAGTACTCACACCAGGTGCGGCGCCCGGCAGGGTAAGGGAGGCCTCATGAATTTCCACCAGCGCATTGCGGAAGGCGGCCCAGCCATCATCAGTGGCGCCGGGGGTGGTCCCCGTGGTGGCAGGCACTATGATGGTGCTGCGCCCATGCATGCGACTCGCCTCCGACACCTGCACCCCGTGGGACCACACATGCCACAACATGCTCACAACAGTACACCACTTCCAGAGACATGGAAGGTGCAAAAAAGGTGGCCCTTACCAGCCCCTTATCCCATATAAACCTCCACGTCATCAAGCCCCAGGCCAGTGGAGATTAGCCCATGTCATGTCCGACACATTGGTTTTGAGGCAGTACCGGCAGGTGGAGAGTCCTAACGCAGAACAAGGAGTGAAAGAGAACAAGAACATGGCAAGGAGGCGGATGCAAGAGCGCGGCTGGCAGGGGCAGTGACCCGACGCTCAAAATGAGGGGCAGCAGAGGCAGGGCAGGGAGGCGGAGTGGTGGGCACCTTGAGGAATCGACCACGGGGGTTTTCTCCCACGTCGAAGTAGAACACCTGCGACGGGCCGCCCAGGGAGCGCGCAACCAAGAGGCACAGGGCGAGGGGGGCGAGGGACGACTTAAGGTGCAAAGGAGATGTTCGAAATTACCAGCATAAGGGCGGGAAGAGGAATTAGGGTTAACAAGTATGAGAAAAGCGTTGAGCGTGCGCGCGTGCGGGAGCGAGCACCTTAGAGTCGAGCTGCAGCTCCTTGCTGTTGAGCTGGCCCTGCTCGCCGCCGTTGGCGTAGTAGTTGAACAGATCCACGAACCACACCACCCCCGCCAGCGGCACCAGGATGGTGGAGCGGTTGAGCGCCGTGCGCTCGCTGATCTTGAGGTAGCGGCCGCGCGGGTTGTCCTTGAGGTCGAGGTGGAACAGCTTCTGCTCCAACTGCAACGACCGCGACACCAGCTCCACGTCTCCCATCGCCATCGCCGCGCACACCCGCGATCTCTGCACCGCACCCACCAACGAGCAACGAGCAATGCGCGAATTAGTTGCGCTCCTCGCGACCCTCCGCTACCCGTCACCACGAGCGCTAGAAACCCACCAACTTCCGCTCACTTCGCCCGCCAACCACCTCGTTGAACACGCGTGTCGTCTCGCTTCAAACCGCCCACCTCCTCCACTTCCTCCGCCGCACCTCCCGCTGCCTGCCCAGATCACAGCCCCTCCGCCCTCACAGCAGCACGTGACACGTCGCAATGAGCAGAGCAGGACGACGAAACAAAATCAAAGCAGAACTCCAAAGAGAGAGCCTTATTCCATTTTCTGCATACGCCTCCGAAAACACTGCATGCAGCTACAGCTACTCTCTAATTTTACTAGAATATATATGCTTCATGCAATTGAGCTTGAATGGCATACCGTACGATACGTAAATACAACACAGCTCCAATTGTAGCAGTAATATGTACAGTAGATGTCTTATATACACACGATTATGAGACAAATCTCAACCAACACAAGAAGCCAAATTTGTTCACCTTCGCGCGCGCCCTTGTGCGCGGTCAACTCGGCCTCAACCGAATTGGGTATGCATGCAAGGTGCTTCTCAGCGTGATGGAAGCTTATGTGTAACAAGCTAGTGTGTGGGTGCAAGTGGTTGGTGCAGCTGCTGCTGCGAGTTGACTTGCACATCATGGTAGTAGAGCAGCACACATGCGGGCTGGCCCACAATGCAGAAGAAGAACCAGAAGAGCATGTTGCCCACCTGCAACAATCACCGCGCAGCAGGGGGGCATTAACATTATTTCTTCAACATGTGACCCTTTGCTATGGCCAATGCGTAAAGAAGAAGGAACGCAGAGGAAGGGAGTACATCGGTACATTAAGAAAAGGCAGGTGGTCGGCTGATGCAAGAACTGAGCACGTGACTGCAAAGCCATGAGTCACAGAAACCGTACCATTGGATTTTGAAACTTCTGGTAAAGATAGTTGGTGATCCAGACCAGAGGTATCTAGAGGGGCGGAACAGAGGGCAGGGAGACAAGCACACAGTATTTAAAGGACGACCACCATCCAGTCCTGCCCCCCTATCCACCAAGTCTGTCACGTACAGTTTTATTCTCCCAACACCAAAGTAATGGATATCGTAAGCAACACAAAATTACTCTCTGGGCACTGCAGGTAACAGCGTTATTGGTAGACACAGAGCAAAGCGTGAGCAAATAATACGGATTAAGGCAAGGGAGTGGCAGCGCGCTTGCCTGAAAAATCATGCCAAGGAATGCCCAGAGGCGAAACATGTGGCAGGGAATTCCTATCAGCACCTGCCATGTACGCACAAGCAGGATGAAGGGAATGATGGGTGTCCGTACCACGGGGAAGAGGTAGCATATGCCGTGAAATGATGTCGGGGGGAGGCAGGATGATGAGAGGTGGGGAAGGTTGTGTACCTCGTGGAAGACAGCTGAGAGGAAGAACACCACGAACACTGCCAGCGGCTGCCATGCCACACCACACACACCACATGACCCACATGTCAGCACCGTTAAACAAACTGGACCGTGAGCAGTGGAGAGCAGCTGTAAGGTGCTGCAATGCATATGCATAGCGAGAGCAAGGCATGCCACACAATGGTTTAACGGCATGAGGGGGGTTGGGGAAGCACCTTGGTGAGGCCGATGGAGAGGCAGGGGAAGTAGATGTGGCGCACCATCCACCGGTGCACAGGCTGGTGGGGGGGGGCACAGGGGTGGCAAGCAAGCATGGTGGCAGAATGCTGTGAGATGTGCACAGTGGTCAACATGGGACAAAAGGCAGACTCACACGTGAATGGAAGCGAACACACATGAGAGAGACTTACCATGTTCCAAAGCTTCCAGTACTGCAGGCGGTGACAGGCGCCCCGCACACATACATGCACACACAGGCACCAGCACACACGCACAGACGGATATGACAGAGCACAGTGTGAAGGCAGGCATGACGAGCATGGTCCAAAGGGACGAGGCATGCTGACCGTAGTTGAGCGTGGGAAAGGAAACGTGGGGAAAGGGAGTGCACCTCCTCTATGGTCTTGGCGTTCCACCAGTCCCGGTAGAACTCCCTGTCTCCAAAGCATAGCAACTCGCCCAGGATATTCAACCTGCCACCCATGCACCCACACGAGGAAAGGGATTGATGGAGAAAACGCATGGAGGAAGGAGGTCTGAGTGGAGACCTTGAGGCATGAGCAGAGCAGGGATGAATGGGGGCTTCATGGACTGACCAGAGGTGGAAGAAGCAGAAGAATATGCCGAGCCACACGTAGAGGGTGGGGATGGAGAGCTTCAAAACGCGCTCTATGCTGTACAGAGAGTGTCCCTTGAGGGGATGCTGGCTGTTCTTGATTATGGGGTTGATGTACTGCCACACAACAACCAAGTAAGCAGCACGTTCAAGGACAACGAAAGGCACAGTGAGACAGAGTGCCACTCAAGCTGAGCATATGGCATGCAAGAGCTGAGAACCCCACAGGGTGAAAACACAAAAGAGGAGAACGGATGGGGGCGAGCAAAAGTAAGCGGGAATTGTGTGGTGAATGAAGAAGAAGGTGCATGGGTGGGCGCAGGGGCGAACCTGTTCAATGATGAATAGCACGAGCCCTGTGAACGTCAGTAGCTTCACCACCTGCTGCAGCAGCCACCCCTTGCGCACATGCGGTGCTCGAGGGTACCCCAGCTGCCACACAGTCAGCAACGCACATGTGTAGGGGCGGACAGAGCGCGATAGGGAAAAGGCTACAAGCAGTGAGACAGGCTGCAAAACAAGGCACTGGATGACATAAAAGCAAGAGTGCATGCAGCAGCAAGGAAGCATGAGACAAGAGGTGAGTTGGTGAGGTGGCGCACCTGGTAGCAGAGGGTGGGCGCAGCCATGAAGTAGCAGAGGTTGCCCACTGTGAGGTTCAGAGGGTACTGCACCACTGGCGCCCCTGCAGCAGGCACCAGCTGTCATGTACCAACAACGCCGTGCCATCGGTGGGTGATGGGAAACGGAGAAACTTTAGCCAAGGCTAGTGAACAAGGAGGGACACGGTGGAGAGAAGCACAGGAAGCAGCAAGTGGGGTGTGCTACGTGCGAGCAGCAAGATGGCAAGCATGGTGAAGAGCAGAGGTTGATGTGCACCTGATGGCCTTCCGACAGCCTCTTGCGCACGTCATGCAGCGTGTGCGCGTACGAGATGAGCTTCATGAACACCGTCACCGCCACAAAGATCAACAGAAAGCCGCCCAGAGGCTGAGAATGCACCCTGCAGGAAAGAAGTGTGATGCACTGGTCACGGTGGAACTGGGACTCAACGTACGAAAGTGCAACACTCATATAGAGGTACATGGTCGTGAAACCAGCAAGAGCCTTCGAGTTACATGCCTGTTGATGACGATAGCTGGGTAGAAAAACTCTCCTGCAATGTTGACAACATGCAAAAATGCCGTAACCTGTGAGGGTCACACGGCAAGGCCATGCATTAAAATAAGTCTGCGTCAACAATAATGGAATGAAACACACACGTGACTGACAGCAGTGCGACAGGCAAGGGAATGGGCGGGTGGCGCATAGGAGCGGCACCTGTTCAGTGATGTAGCCGTGTGCGCGCAGCTTCTCAATGCAGAGCGCCATTAGGGGGAACGCTGCCAGACTCAGCCTGGAAAGCAACAGACAGTTTGCATTCAAAGTCAGGACAGCCAAGGTCGGGAGGAAGGCGAGTGAGAGCATGGACGGTCAAAGGGGAGGAAAAGAGGAAGACAGAAAGAGAGAGAGAGGCAGCCAGTGCAGGACGGGGAGAAGGAAAAGGGGGGAGAAGAAAACGCAAACAATGATCATGCGAGGACTCAAATAAGAGAGCATTGGCAGGGTGGAAGGGTTGAGGTAACTGACCCACACATGAGCAGAGGCCATTCACGCAGCGAGCTGCTGGAGAGCCAGAAGCTAGAGCGCGCCAGGATGCCATACTGCACACCACAGAGGGAGCCAGGCGCGTGGATGGGGGTTAGACATATGACAGCAGACGTGACTCGCACACAAGCACCACACAGAACGCATGCAAGGCCGTGGGAAGCAGAATGGTGGGCACCGCAACAAGAAATGTCAGTGCTCCTCAAAACGCAGCACTGTGCCCCTCACACGCAATTCACTCGATCGCAGACAGAGGAGAGCAATGCAGGAGCGAGTGCAGCAGAATAGGAGGGGGGTGACCTTCATGAGGTTCTCAATGATGAGGCGGCTGTTCACCGCCACCAGCAGCACAATGCACAAGTTGAACAGCCCTGCATGGCTCTGCACACGCAAACCAGCAATGGTCGCATGGGTACAAGAAAACGGTTACTGCATACGGTACACTACGTAGAGCGGCCATTCGAACGATTTAAGAAAAAAAAAAGGGGGGGGGGGGGGGGGGGGGGTGGGTAACGGGTTGGTGCATTGTCTAGCACGCTTGCACGAGGGTACTGACAGAGAGGGGCGTTGTGAGGATAAGCAGAGGCGAACTGACCTGTTGGAAGATGGCAACGGAGCTCAGAGGGCTTTCCCTCACATGCTTGTGCGCCGGTGCACACACCCATGGCACCCCCCTTCTCTCTCCAGCCTTCCTCACTCGCTGCGCACCCTCCTCCCCTTGCCCCGCACGCCCATGCTCATGCTGGCACGAACTCCTGCTGTCGCCCTCGTCCCTGCCCTTCCTCCGCCGCACCACTGCCGCTTCACTGTGGCTACCACCACCTGCCGCCCCCTGCTGCGCCCACGCCGCACCCACCCCGCCCGGCCATGCGCCCTCCCGGCCATGTGAAGCGGCATGCAGCGGGGCGTGGCGCAGAGAGGCAGCGAAGCTGTCAGCGCGCTCAACGGAGGAGCTGCTGCTCGTCACCTCGCCCGCCGACGCCTCTGACGCCTCCCCTGCCGCCTCCTCCGCTCTCATCGACCCCGCCATTCCCTTAGTGGCGCCTGTGGCGTGGTGCTGGTGCAGGTGCGGTGCAGTGCACGACGATGTGGCCGCACAGCACCCTGCCGCCTGCGCGGCAGCAGCAGGAAGAGGCGAAGAGAAAATATACAGGCAGGGCGCAGCGCATACATTAGGAAATTCTATGGACCAAAGGCAAGCATCACTGCCTTTAAGGAAAAAAACCTGCAAGGCAAAGCTACCTGCAGTACAAGCCAAAAGAGGTGCGAAACAGCCTGCAAGGGAAAGTTACCTGCAAAGCAAGCATCCAGTTGTAAACCTCTGCTTCGTCTCTGGAGCTCAAGCGCAGCAGCATGTTGCCCTGCGAGTCCTCTGGCACACAGGGTACGAGTCAAACACGAATAGACATCAACCATGACCACAGGGCCTGCCAGCACACCAAGCCAGCACAACAATTCTGACAGGGAAGCGGCGGAGATAGAAATCGAGGCGAGAGCTTTCTGAAGGGTGCAGAGTGCGGGAGAGCGCACCGAGGCGGAAGATGAAGAAATTGGTGGCGCTGAAGCCGTCGGGCTTGGCGCCCTCAAGCGCGACGACGCACGAGTGGAGCAGCACGGCCTCCTCAGGGCGATGCTCCGTGTCCCTCTCCGACTCCCACGCCATCAACAGCTCGCCCGCCAACCTGCCTCCCGCCACGCCATGCACGTAGCAACACGGCGCATGATGAGCCCCCACACCGCAAGGCGAACATCACTGGCTAAGGGTTTCAAACGCCAGCGCAGCAGCAGAAAAGCGCCTAAGAGACATACTTACACGAAATAGCGACGGTGCCATGTGCGTTCCCATACCCTTGCCCTATCATCGAAAAAAGGATCACAGAAGGAAAGAGGTAAGGGAAGGTATACACTGAAGGACGAAGCGACGGGAGAAGCACTGGTGCGATGAGCGAGATTTAAGAACATGCAGAACTACACGAGCCAGCGGGTGCGAGGGCGCAACGAGATGAAACAAGTTTGGGGGGACTGTACCAAGGCCGATAGCGATTGAGGTACCCGCAACGGAGCAACGGTGCTGGGAGCTGTCGGAATTTGGAGGGAGGGTAGGGAAAGCGCAGGGAATAGGGGTGAAGGCAGATGATGCAGGACTCGATCGAAGGTAATAGTCAAAGCAGTTCAACGCTGGAATAAGGGGGAGGAAGGGTGAGACGTCCAACAAGCCAAGGACTACCTGTCGTTGGAGAAACGCAAGCGTGAGGCGCGGACCTGCCACGTTGGAGCTGTGGGAGGCGAGAGTGGAGGCGGGGTAAGGGGAGCCGGCGCCACAACGCTGGCCAGCATGTCCGTCTCCGTGGCGCCCACACGCGCATGCAACGACTCCATCGCCTCGCGGTTAAGCTCGCCAGTGAAGACAGACCAAGCCCGCGGATCAACGAGACGGGCGACAACACGTGCAATCGAAGAGGACGGAAATTTACGGGTGCACGCACGGTGCCTAGACAATGCCAATTCAAAACTAGCACAGCAGCGATGACTTCCTACAGCAAAAAGATAGTAGCTATTACCCTCTAATACGTCAAGAAAAAAGAATCGCGTTGACTACTGAACGTTTCGACTGCGGCACGGCCCAATTCACCATACAGACCACCTTACGATAACCTGAACTGGTAATTCGAGGACAGGACAGACGTCTCTGAAGCTGCTTGTGGAATGGACGAGGGACGAGTACGTCATGCAACAGAACACACTGTTCTCACATCCCAGCCGTTCATGAGATAAAGTTAGTGGACGAGGCGATGAGTGGTTGGTGGTGGTGGAATGGCTCCGCTGGGCCAGCAACGGCTAAGAGGTGACGTGGTTCTGCATCACTCGCGACGAGGTTGGGCCAAAACTGACACCAATCAGTGCTGGCATCTTGCTCGTCCTCAGCGCGCCGTTGCGACACGGGAATCACACTTTTGATTCTCCGAGGAATTGACGGTGATGACTGACGTTCCCGTAGGGTGGTCAGCTGAATCGTCGATGTTCACCACAATTCACCAACCTCCCAGAACAGTGGGAGAGCAACCGCCTTGAACTTCGTCTACAGTCTATTACTCGAGATCTAGGAACACTGATGCGACTCTCTCCAAGGAAACATCCTTTTCCTTAACGCCCCTGTTTAACGCGTACACGGCTGTTCCTGCCAACAGTAAACCGTTACCACTCGCGACACTCGCCTCAACTTTTGTTCCTGCCACTGTTCACATCGCGACCCAACCTCACGGTTCAGTTGGTAACCCGCGCTCCGGTCCTCCTCCTCGACAATTCCCAACCTCGGCGCCCGGCCCGTCGCGCACCCCACATGTAATGAATATACAATTCATTACTGTAGAGGCTGCTCCTAGCGAGGACAGCCCCGAACACTGCTCGTCAGTTTCCGGTTCGGCCTACATTTCGGCCCGAACCACTACCGAGTCGCCCCGCACCAATCGTGACACATCCAACCCTCGCACTTCACGAGGTTCTCGCCTAGCACGTATTCGCCCTATAAATGCTCGCTCTTTTCATTATTTCGTCATTCTGTAATTCATCTTTTTTATAAAGTCTTCCGCGCACTCTGTTTTATGAAGCTGTTCGGGGGTACCAACCGCAACACCAGTGAAAGTTTTTGCAACAGGTGGGGGGAGGAAGTGACAGAATCGTAGAAAACAGGAATGTAGGAAGGAGATCAAGTTTAACTAGGGCCTAGGCTTAGGAGCCTAGGCCCAACTAGGATGTCGAGTAGTTTGTGCCTAGGGTGAGATGTCGAGGAAGTTGGAAAGGATGGTTTCACTATAGGTTTCGAAGAACATATAGCAAAGGAAACAAATAAGGTGCACCACCAAACAAAGTTTATAATAACTACACTAACTACAGCTACAGGCAGTTACAAATATAAGTTCTGACACTCCCCCATAACTGCCTGCATCAGGAGTTTGTGCAGAATACAACCTGCAGGGGTACACATGCAAAATAATAAACAAGCAACAGCAGGTACTGCAGGCGGGCTAACACTAGCTGGTCACCCCCTCCATCTCCTCACCCTCCTCCTTCCCCTCCCCCACACTGCTGCAGGAGCAGCAGAGAGGGGGGGGAAGAGAGGAGAGGTGGAGGGACGGCTGCTGGTTGCCTCACACCCGCCACCCCGGTGCCACTCCCCCTTCTCCCCCACACCCTCACACCCTCCCCCCCAGCGGCAGCTGCAGCAGTGGGAACGAAAGGAGGAGGAGGGGAAGGGAAGGAAACGACCCAAAGCTCCAACACCCGCCACCCCCATACCCTCCTCCCCACGGCTGCAGGGAAACAAAGGAGGAGGGGGTGGGCGGGAAGAAAGCCGCAGAGCGGCTACATTGTGTCGGCGCAGGTAGGTCAGGGGCGGCTGCAGGGAGAGCAGGTGCGGAGAGGGCCCGTCGCGTGCCACGGGGCGCACGACGGGCAAGTTTAAGTTTAGGGCCCGGTCGTGTGCCTCGGGGCGCACGACGAGCAGGGCACCGTCGCGTGCCACGGGGCGCACGACGGGCAGGTTTAGGGCACCGTCGCGTGCCACGGGGCGCGCGACGGGCAGAGAAGGAGTCACTCGCCAACCGGGGGCGGGACAAGAGAAAATCGCCACGCGCCCTAGGCGCGCGACCGAGAAAAATAGCAGCGGAAGCATATTGGCGGGCCCACAGGCCAGGACGTAAAACGCTCTGATAGCATGACAGAATCGTAGAAAACAGGAATGTAGGAAGGAGATCAAGTTTAACTAGGGCCTAGGCTTAGGAGCCTAGGCCCAACTAGGATGTCGAGTAGTTTGTGCCTAGGGTGAGATGTCGAGGAAGTTGGAAAGGATGGTTTCACTATAGGTTTCGAAGAACATATAGCAAAGGAAACAAATAAGGTGCACCACCAAACAAAGTTTATAATAACTACACTAACTACAGCTACAGGCAGTTACAAATATAAGTTCTGACAGGAAGGATAGCTTTTTCGCCTCTGCCCCGAAGTTCTTGGCGGATAACGACAACGCCGACGGCGATGATGATGTCATTTGCGGTTCCATTTCTACTTCGAAGAAAATATTGCAGCGGTCAGGGGGGAGTACAGCAACTGTTTTCGCCCCTGCCCTGGAGTTTTCGGAGAATCACGACAAACGCCTCGACGAGTTACGACAAAGCAGCCGGGGGTGCTGACGTCATACTTACATGAGTGGGGGATTTTCGACGGAGTTTTCCAGTCGTTCCTGGTCAGTAACGTGATCCGCTCTTCTCGCCGAATGTCGCTAATGCGCTTCAACGACTTCGCTATTTTCGCGACCTTCTTCGACGACGAACTACACGCGATCGGGAGTCACGGCAGAAGAATTCTGAGATGGGTTTGATTTCGCGCTACCGACAACGGTGTCAACAGGTTGGCAACAGCGACCAAGTGGAGTTTTCAAATGGCAACTGCTGACAGCTGGAGATGCTGCAGCAATCGATGATTTTGATTCTGCCACAGCAACAAGACGACGGACCAGATTTGTCAAAATGTGATAATTGTCTAGCCTGCAGTGGGGTACTCTATAGCGAGTACAGCCCAATTTAGGGTTTCCTATATGTATCCTGCTGCTGCTAGTCCAAACCCCTCTTCTCTGTTCTATCTTTCTGCCTACTATCTCTGACATGCTATCAGAGCGAGTTCGCTCTTGGCCTGTGGGCCCACCTGCTTCCGCTGCTATCCTGTCTGTCGCGCGCCCCGTGGCGCGCGACGTTTTTTCTTCCCGCCACGTGCTCCGAGCGCGTGGCGGTTTTCTGCCCGCCGCGCGCCCCGGGCGCGTGCGGCGGTTTCACGCCCCGTCGTCCGTCGAGGCGCCCCCATGGACCCGCGCGCGCCCCCCCCCCCCCCCCCCCCCGTCGCCCGTCACGGCGCCCCGGGAGCTCGCGCGTCGCCCTGCCTGTCGCCCGTCGCGGCGACCTGGGGGCCCGCGCGTCGCCCCCTCCCGTCGCCCGTCGCGGCGACCTGGGGGCCCGCGCGTCGCCCCCTCCCGTCGCCCGTCGCGGCGGCCCAGGGGCCCACGCGACGCCCTGCCCGTCGCCCGTCGCGGCGCCCTGGGGGCCCGCGCGTCGCCCCCTCCCTCCCGTCGCCCGTCGCGGCGCCCTGGGGGGCCGCGCGTCGCCCCTCCCGTCGCCCGTTGCGGCGCCCTGGGGGGCCGTGCGTCACCCCTCCCGTCGCCCGTCGTGGCGCCCTGGGGGCCCGCGCGTCGCCCCCTTCCGTCGCTCGTCGAGGCGCCCTGGGGGCCCGCGCGCCGCCCCGCTTCCGCTCACACGCCGCCCCACCTGCTGCCCGCGTTTCTGCCCTGCGTTGGAGGGTATGGGGGTGGCGGGTATGGGGGTGGCGGGTGTGTGAGCCGTCCCCTGCTCCTCCTCCTCCTCCGTCTCCCACTGCTGCAGCTGCCGCCTAGGGGGGTGGGTGTGTGGGAGCCGAAGGAGTGGTGCTAGGGGGGTGACGTGGGAGTGGAGCTAGGGGTGCAGCAAGGGGTGTGTGAAAGGGGGGTGGGACAGTTGGGGGAGGTTGAGCGGAGGTTGAGCCGTCGTGTCGCCAGCAGCGCCAGTAGTCCGGAGGCTACAATCTCCGGTAGTCGCCAGTCGCCCGTGGGTCAGTTGCTCCAGCCGCTCAGAGTTAGCCGCTGAGCCAGTTACTCCTGAAGTCCGGGCCATTGCTTCGGTAGCCACTGAGCCAGCCGCTATCGTGTGTCTGCAGCTTCAGCCGTCGCCTCCTATCTCCTCTCCTCTTACAGTCCCGCCTCCTCCTCACTTGCCCTCTGTGCATGCCTCTAGCTTTGCTAAGATTTGTGAACCTGCTCTATGACTGCTTGCTGTGCTGATTATACCCCACTTTGACTATGGGGGTGTGTCAAAATGTGATAATTGTCTAGCCTGCAGTGGGGTACTCTATAGCGAGTACAACCCAATTTAGGGTTTCCTATATGTATCCTGCTGCTGCTAGTCCAAACCCCTCTTCTCTGCTCTATCTTTCTGCCTACTATCTCTGACAAGATTTCGGGCTGCCGATGCTGCAGCAGCAGTCGCGACTACAAGACAAGAAGAAAGTTATCTTCGTAAAGTTTAATTCGAAGGCTCGCACACGAGTCCAAGCGCACAACGGTTTACCCTCTAAAATGACTTCGCGGTTTACCCTGACGAGTTTTAAAAGGTCAAGACAGTGACCTTTCGCCACCGACCACAACTTCGACAGGCCGCTGCTAAAATTCAAAGGGGGTTCATGTCAAACTGTTATTTGCTGTGTAGGCTGTAGTGGGGTACTCAACAGAGAGTACAACCCTTTTAGGGTTCCTATATGTATCCCACCTGCCTGCTAGTGCAAACCCCTCTCTTCTGTTC